TCTCTCTCTCTCTCTCTCTCTCTCTCTCTCTCTCTCTCTCTCTCTCTCTCACACACACACACACACACACACACACACACCACACACACTCACACTGATAATAATAAAATATATGATTCTTAAAAACCAAAAGCTAAATGAAGAGGGCAGTGAGCAGGGTTACCATCAGATGAAGGTAGCAAAGCGGTCAGTGCCTTGCCAGTAGACAATGGGTCAGAGGGAAGTCCCAGTGAAGCAGAGAGTTCTGAACATGATATGCAGCAAGGTAGAGACACTGAACATGAACTCAAATCTCCACAGGAAGGGAGGACAATGAAGAAACAATGGTTGCCAACTCTCAGATACAAGAAGCCATTGGATCCTGAATGGAACCAACAGAGGAACTGTACAAATACATCACAATATATTTAATTAAACCAACCAAGGGGAGAAGTTTTGCCTTTTTAGAAATTTCTCACTAGGTAGATTTAGATAATTTTGATCTCTGATCCTCCTGCCTCAGGCTCCTGAGTTTGGGAATGAGTCACTACCAACCTCCCAGAGACTGTTTAAGTCATCACCATCAATGATGACTATTCCTTGGGAATGGTCTCAATAAATACACCAGACGATGTTATCAGTCTGCTAAAGAGAGTCATTCTGGGGTCTGCATTTCAGCAGATGCATCCTATAAATAAAGGTGGAAAGTGAATAAACTCACCTGGGAACTGCCAGGTATAACCAGGAGGATGGTCCCTGGGAGCTTTAGACCCAATGCAGGACACAGGTTGGCACAGTATCCATCCTGTGGGGAGAGAAAGGCTGCTCCTCAAGAAGACTGCAGCAGACCGGAAAGCACTACTTCCAGAGAGGTCCAGTCTCTTTCTGGCTGCATCTGAAATGGAGAGGCCCAGTCAGATCACTGGCTCCCAGGGCATTGGTAAGGATTCAAGATTTCTCATGTGAGTACAGCTACATTCATAGCAGAAGCTGATTTGCAGCCCTTCCTTTCCCCATGGGGGCTGCATGTTTGTAGCCAGCCCAAGTGCCATGGTTCCTGGTAAGGGCCCCATTCCCTCCGAATCACACTGTTTTGCCCTGGAGTTGAAGGAGCAGCTCCTGGAAAAGGAATTTATTCTGGGCCAGGCTGCCTTGAGAGGCCACCTCCCCACCTCAGGAGAAGTGAGTTTCACTTGGGACACTTGGATTGCTGGTATGTGGGTGTTAGGAGACACTGCCACATAGTGCCAGGTGCCCTGGGGCACTGTCTGAACAAAGACCAAGGCATGCCACTTGTGATGGGCTCAAATCAGAGCCCAGTGCTTTTCCCCTTTTATAGACACTTGATTTCTTAATCTGCTGTGAGACACACACACACACACACACCCCACTTACTTCTCTGTTGGGAGAAGCAGGTGGAATCTGCAGCTGGACTGTGATTCCAGGCCTCTACCCAACCTGTGTGGACTTGCTGGACTGGATGTTTTGGAAAGGTGCATGAAAGCATTTATTCAGCAAAATACAGACCCGTGCCCCAACTCTGCAGAGTCACCACCATCAGACAGCTACTGATTGTGCTACTGTGGCATAAAGGTCTTCACCATCTGCTGGAAGTGTGCCAGGAGCATTAATGGTCCTGGGATGTTGGTGTGCAGTCTCTTTGGGCTCTTCTATGCCACCCTGACTTGAGAGGACCCATGTGAAGTACTGTGTGTGACAAGGACCAAGGTCCTCAGGCCAGCCTCGACAGCCCACTGGGTTTTGAATACTCTGGTGTTTTCTTGGGATGTGGTGCCAGTCTGT